GAAGAGTTCAGTGTCTCCCCCTCCGCTTACCCTCATGAGGAAGTTGTTGACTACAGTGAGGTCTTCCCTCAATCTCCTCCAGGCTGAACAGACCAAATGACCTCAACTGTTCCACAGACAGCTTCCCCTCTACAGTCTTCACTGTCTTTGTTGACCTCCTTTGGACACTCTCTAACAATTTAATGTCTTTCTTATATCATAGCACCCAAAACTGCCCCCAGCCCTGGAGGTGAGGCTGCCCCAGCTCAGAGCAAAGTGGGACAATCCCCTCCCTTGCCTGGCTGGCCATGCTGTGCCTGATGCCCCCCAGGACAGGGTTGTTCCTCCTGGCTGCCAGGGCACTGCTGACTCATATTCAACTTTCTGTTGACCAGGACCCCCAGGTTCGTTTCCCTGACACTGCTTTCTAGCATCTAATTCCCTATGTTGGGCAGTGGTTAGCTGTCTATCTTCTGTGGTGGACTTTGCTTGTGCCACAGTATGGATTTACAGAACGTATTTACAAACTTCCACAAGTCTGTTAAAAAAAAAACAAATGAAAATAAAAATAATATGAACAGTTAATTACTAGAAAACATCAATACACATAAAGATGATTTCATAAATATTCATATCATGCAAAACCTATCCCTTCATCCATTTGATTTCTGCTTAAGGATAAAGACCAGGTTTAAGAAGATGGATAACGGGTCTCTTTTTTAAAAGAAGTAAACCATTGAAAGGTTCCATCTCTATTCAGGTCAGGGTAATCAGGCAAGGCCTCCATTATTCTATGGTTGTGCCAGGGTCTGATCCTGTCTCAAGCCCTCCCTGAGCAGTCACTGAACTTTCATGGATTCACCTCAGTCCTGGCTTGTTGACCTTTCTTTTGGTTGAAGATCACAGGACTGTTGTTGGAACCCATTGCAATTGCCATCTGACACTGATAATCCTGCTTTGGGGCTGCAAGATAGTGCCCTGGCAGTGAGGGCATTGCCTGTGCTGTCATAGTTGGTCCCTGCCTTATCATTCTTTGAAGTGCAGCCTCACTCTTGCTGTCCTCTAATAGAAGTTTACAAAACCAGATTCCAAGTACCCACCTCTGCAATGAAATCATTAGCTAAAGCTCATCAAAGTCAATACCAGAAGCAGCAAAAACATGGGCAACCATCTGTGACCTGTTCCAGCTTTATGATGTACACACTGCTCCTCCTGTGAATAACTTACCATTAGAGTGATACAGCATTGTCCTTGATAGATACCTACAAATTCAAGTAAGAGACAGTGTAGGAATCTAATACCCTCTGATGAGGTTCTCCATACATGGAGAATAAAATATTTCACTCATACAAAGTCAATGCTAAACAATGAATTCTTGAAACTTAGTCCAAAGCGATGATTAATTTTTGAATGAATACAGAATTTATAAGGTGAAATTTTGCTGAAGGAGAATTTTGAAACCGGAAAGAAAGAAGGTAGAGGCAGGGAGTGTCCAAGTTTGCTGAAACACACAAACACAGGATAGATATCTTTCACCTGGTGTTCCTTGTAGTTAATTACAGCAGTGTCTCATGTCTCATATCTTGGCATCTTGTCCTGGCTCTCATCCAGCTTCCATGCTGAATGACTGATACTCGAATAAATCTGAAGCCTGCAGTTCTGACACTATTCTGCACAGGCAGGCTCTGGCCCCACTCCTTCTTAAGTCCTACTCACAGAATGGTCTGAAAAAGATTACCATGAGGAGTTCAGCACCTCTCTCACCTGCGACACGCTTTCTGGTGTGCTGCTTGATTTTGGACTTCTCAGTGCAAGAAATACACTGATGTTCTGGGGTGGATGAAGAAGAAGGCCACAAATATGGTAGTAGGCTGTACTATGACATGAAATTAGAGACTGAGATAAATTGACATTTCCAATTTAAAGAACTAAAAGTGGGGAGGAAGTTTTAAGTCTGACTACAACTCTCTGTTTAAAGACCATGTTGAATACAGGATCAGACTTTCTGTGGATGTTCACAGTAGAAGGATAAGATACCGAAAACACAAGTTGCAAAAGGAAGTTATAACTATTTGATGTAAGGATTATTTTACCATGAGGATGTTCAAACACTACATACAAGAAGTTGTGAGATCTTTAAAATTCAACAGAACATGGCCCTGAGCCACCTGCTCTGACTGGTCTGACTTTTAGCAATGTCTTGGACCACAGGACTTCTGGAGGTCCTTTCCAATCTGCAAGATTCTGATCCCATTTCCTTTCTTGGAGAAATGTCACACACCAGAGGTTTAGTTGATGTAAATTACAAACAACGTTATTCTTAAAAGGAAGAACTTTGAAAAATTGAAATTAGGGAAAGATTTGCCTATGTGATTAATTGTGTGATTTGTAAATATTTTTAGTCTCAATAACGGCAAAAAAGACAGAGTTTGGGGGGAGGTGTTCATCTAAGATGAATACATTAAATATTTAATATATATTTAAAACCTGCAATTTTTGCTTTACTAACAGTAAGATGTAATAAAAGCAAATTACAATGTCTGTGTAGGGAAAAATACTACGGTTTTCTTCAAGAAGCAGGTATTGTATTAGTCTTCATAAAATCATTATAATTTTTCATCAACTGAATGTATTCTTCACTTCTCTACTTACTATATACAAAACCTTAGTTTGCATAGAATGCTTTTACCAGCTCTTTTGGAAAAAACCTGTGTGAACAGAGTTTTTTTAAAGCTCTCTTTAAAGAACTCTTCATCAGTTATATGAATAGTGAGAAATAGTCATGTCTTATATCAAGTAAATAATTTCCTGCAATATAAATATTCTTTTGATCATGTACTTCTGATAATGTACTCCATTTCTGATTTGCATTATATCAAACACAGCTCTCAGGAAATAATTTGTTTTACTATTGAGAACGTTTGTGTATGCAATAGTAACTAAAACAAATACTACATTTAAGTGAAGAAACTCTTAAACACGAGATCGTAAGAATTTTGTCTGGAGGTACTTTACAACATTTAGTGACAATGTTAAAAAAAGGAAACTCACTTTTTTGGGAGGGGAATTGCAGACTAGACAAAACAATAAAAATAATAGCTTTTGCACAATTATCTCTGCTGCAATGTCTTGAATGTCTCATTATGTCAAGTGCAGTGATTTACTGAACAAATATTTACATTTTTTCCATCTCTTTGCTAACAACAACATATTAAGTTCTGATTAGCTATTCTCTATTGTAACAGCTGAGAGATGTTCTATTTCCACTGTTTTCATGTTTCAATGAGAAAGAATTGGTTAGAGTATGTAAGTCAAGAAGAAAGAGAAAGAATGATTAATTTATGAGTCTTTGCATATTTCTCAGAAGAAAAATTTCAGACATCTTATGCAGAGTTTTTAAGTTTGACAAATACGCAAGAGCAAACTGTTCAGATAGCTGTTCAAAGCAAAATTATCAATGGATTTGATGTTTGTACATCCATATTTCATTTGGAATCATGACTATTTTACTTAAAGCTCCAGTTCTCTACCTAAGTACCTCACCTACCTACCAAAGCTGTGAAGCACAACAGAGCATTGTAAATGAAGTGTTGATATTTCTCATTTACTGAATGCCATCCCAGGCCTAAAGAAGCTTAGAATATGTCATTTCAATCTTCAGTCTAACTCTAAAGCTCCTGTCTTCAAAATTTTTTTGAAGCATAAATGTGATAAAGTATTTTTGTGTTTTCATCTAGCTTTTTTAAAACTTCCTTCTGGTATTTTCTCTCAGAAGTAATTGTTGTAAGTACCAAAGAGGGAAAATTAGTCATACGGCAAAATGTGACTGAAATGTGAACAATAATTAGTGAAAATAAGAATAGCAAGCTACTAGTGGATTTCTACTCTACTATAAACAATTTATCTACATATTGTACACACTTGAATGCTATATTCTTCTCAGAAAAAAAGCCTGCATATATGTCTTGGCTTGAAAGACAGGTGCCTGCCAAAGAAGGTGTGAACCTCCCTTGGAATGGAAAATGGGACCCTATTCCCTCCACATTATTGTAACTTTGAAATTAAGGGGCTTTCAGGCAAAGATTATGGGAAAAGGAATAACAGTTCTTTACTAGTATTTATATATGAATAATATGGCAAACAAACAAGAACAACTCTGGCATTAACACCAAACAGAGACACAAACCTACGGACAGCCTTCTCAGCCTCACACTTACCCTTTGGTGCAGTTCTGGGCACGGCCAGCAGGGGCGCTGGTGGCTCCTGGCCGGGCAGCAGGGGTGTGATGATTCCCCCACGGCTGCAGGGGGCGCTGTCCAGCCGTCTCTCTCACATGGACAACGGCAGACACTCCAGTGGAAGAGATGGAAAAGTGGTTTCTGTTACAAGCCCTCAGGGCCAGCTAGACCCGGTGTGCCTCCATATGGTGAAATGGGCTGTGGCAGGAACCTCGGAGTAATGGCTGGAATGGCATAGGGAAGCAGATCCTGGGGTGGCAAAAATAATGTAGCAGAAGCTCCACAGACGTAGCAGAAGCTGCAAGGGATCTGGTGGACATGGGATATTGGGTTTAAGTGTAGTGAAAATCCTCAACCAGTGGCAGAAAACAGCAGGGCTATGTAGCAGCAGCCATGATACTGCAAACATCTGGGAGAGGCTCTCTGGGAGGGGGTCAGGGGTTGGGGTCTCAGGTTCTCCCCTGGGGCACCTGAGTAGACGGTGAGGGTCCTTTCCAGTGAGATCAGGTGATTCATAAGGTCCCAATTCAATGGCTGCTCTTACAAGCAAAGCCTCACTCAGAGTAGGAGAAGCAGTAAAAGGGCTGAACTCCACAGTGGGAGAGAATTCTCCCCACAGGCAGTAACAACACTGTCTCTGGTCCTGAGACTGTCAGAGAGGAATGGAACCCAGCCCTCTGATCCCCCCAGCCAAAATCTCATGGTATCTCTGCCCTTCCCAAGAGAAACCCCCCCCCAGCCAAAATAGCTCAGTCAGATGCACCCATTTCCCCCACCTTTGCCACTTTTGTCTCTTAAGTATTGGTTCTTCCTATCTCTTAGGTAACAAATGGAAGAAATTTCCCTGAGAGAAAGAAAACAGGAAAAAAACCAGAAAAAATCTAACCTCCAGCAATATAGTAATATGAAACTTGTGGCAGACATTAGTGCACTTCTCTTTCTCCCTTTAACTGTGTAAAGATGATCATTAGAGGTGAGTCATCAGCATCCAGACACCTTCATCAGGAGAAAAATGAGTGTCTTATATAGATGCTGAGTACTTTTGGGTGGTCTGTTACCCTGAAAACTGTTTTTGCCAACTCCCATGATTACATTTGTTTAATGAGCAGTGAAGGACCATTGATGGCTTGTTAACAGCCGTCAAGTCTCCTGTGTTTATTTATCTTTTATTAAATTCTAGGGTCATAATAGAGATTTCATTCTATACAGTTTAATTAGGCAATTGTCACACCATGAGCACAACCTCTTCTCTCCACCTTCCATGGCTTTTGCAGCCTGGGCTCAGGGCCAGGTTTTGGTGTAATTGCATGGTTTAGCACCTGCCTAATGGTGAAAGGACTAATTGTGCAAATGTTCTGGGAGAAATTTGTGCTCCAACCATGTTGGAGCCCCAGCCCATGGCCCACCAGGGCTGCCCCAACACTTATTCCTGTAGTTAGCTTTACATGCAACAATAGCCACAACGTAATTGATAAAACCAAGAAAAAGCTAGAAGTCTAGAAGGGTAAATTAATCAAGCTGTCTGATGATTGCTGTTACAGGTAGAAAAGCAAAGACTTGGCTACGGACAGGCCAAGATGAGTCTAAGAGAGTCCTGACACCGCATGAGGTCTATGAGCTTGACAAAAGGCTTGTGATCTCTTACTGGCCCTGTCACCGCCGTCCCTTGTGGGCTACAGGACTGCAGGTCTCTGCTCATCTTTCAACACCCTCACATTTATTGATCTTTACTATAGTCTGTGTCTCTTCTGTTAACTAGATAAAACACATAGTAAACTGCTGGGAAGGGAAAAAAAAGTCTGTATTTGGGGACTGCTAGAAGAGTGGTCATCTTTCTGTATGAAGGCTAGAATTATAGTACATTATGACCTTTAGAAATATTATTCCTGTTAGAAAAGGAAAGAGCTACACTATCATGTCTATCCTTAAGTGACTAAGCAGACTTCTATTTAGATTGGTCTCAACAAAACCCTAGGGCTCTTTTTATATATTTCATATATTTTCCAATGTTCTGTCCAAATAACTTCAGTTATCTTTCCCTGAAGTTGATATGGTTTTTTGACCATTTTTCTCAGTATCAATATTGTTGACAAGTGATCTTTTCTCTACAGCTTCTGCTTTACTCTTTCATATCCTTTCTCTTTTTTTTTTTTTTCAGGATTAAATATAAAAGACAGAAATCCCAGATAAATGCATCTTGTGGCTTCGTGGGGATGATTCTCTTAATTCTGATTTGCAGTGCATCATTTTCCTCAGGATGACAATCAAAGTAACAAGAATGGTAAAGGTACACTTTAAATTTGTTATGTTAACTCTCCTATTTCTTACAAGTGTTTAAAAATCTTTCAGAAAATGAACTAACACCCTGACCTAATTACCTAATTTTAGGTAGGTGAGTAAACATCCTAGCTGGTACACAGCTAAAATCACTTTGTGAATACTAATTATTACAGGTAGGGTTTTTGAAACATGGTTATGGATACACTCAGGTTGACTATGCCTTTCAATCAATGAGCCACTTGTATCTTTCAAGACCATTCACCACAACACTGTTGTTACCTGATGTGAAAATCAATTTGAACTATGGTTCACTGATTTCTAGAAGTACCTTGATAAAAAGGTTTTGGGTACCAGTACATGCAGGTCTGTATGATCTGCCATAGTGCACTCTGAAAGCTGGTTCTCCCTTTTCTCTCTTCAGCAGCTGTGCACATATCTGAATGAGAACATCTTATCTGCTGCGTGTCCACCAGTCTTCACTGAAAAAGGCTACTTCATTCAGTCTTTTTTCAGTGGCAGTTCTGGTAAACATGATTCTATTGATGTTTTTCATACAGGTTTATCTTACTCAAAATTTAAATTTCAAAAGTATTCAAAATATTATACCTGAGGATTTAATGAGATACAATACTGTTTATTTTCCCAGTCTTGCAACTATCTTGTTTAGAACACTGGGGAAATACTGAATTCAGCTGACCTCATGTCTTGCTATATCATTCATGGCTTCTCTTTCCTGAACAGCTGCATCCTAGGATATTTTTCCTTATCCTATAATCATGCAGCTGATGGTTCCCGCTTGAATACAGTATTTTGCAGTTCTAATGAATTTTATATAGATTTTTTTCTCCTCAGAAATCTGGAAACAAACCTTCTAGACTCACTTTTGCTGTCACATACAGGGAATTAGACCGAGTTATTTTGTATTGCATTGTGTGCCCAGTTTGACATGCTTGAATTTTCAAGACCACTGAGTACATTTTAACAAGTTGTGTTCCCTTGGGAATGCCTATTCCTATCACAGCTTGATGAACTTCCCATGAGGCTATCTGCTCTGTATTTCTGAAGAATATATTCACCTGATATTGTAGTGGTTCCTTAAGTTACCTTTTTCTTTGGCTGCAAAAATCCAAGATTCTATAGGATTTATATATGCTTATATTGTGTATAGGCAAATCCATTCAAGGAAGTTGCTCATTTCCTTTGTTTTCAGTTTGAGATTAGGAATGACAAGTGTTACATGCAAGTGGCTTTTCACCTCTTTTCTCTAAATACAGCTTCTCAGTCTTGCTGAGATCCTCTTGGTTTTGTTATTCTAGACTTTTAGGTAGACATAAGAAAAAACCTTTCAGCTTATGCACAGTACCAATTTCCAAAAGTTTAATGAGTTACATTTTTTTTCCTTGTCCCAGTCATGTAACTGTAAAAGTTCCAACACAAATTAATGTGATGTTTTCTCACCACAGATCCGCTAAATTGTACTTGCCAATCAGATCTTTCCTATACAAGAAATTTTTGATTGGTTGTAACACTATTTCTTCCACAGTTATCCAGTGTTAATGTTTAACAAGGATACTCCTTTTTCCTTCCCGAACCTAATTCTGTTTTCTGAACAGACTTTTGTGAAGGTACCACACACAAAAGCTTAGATTGATCTAAGGCACATCAATTAACTGTGGGACCAATTATAATTATATTCTTAAAACCAGCTGATTCTGGTAAGACATGAGCCATTGAAAGCATGATATTATCACCACCCAAGGAAATCCAAGTATATCTTTATATGCCAATTCTCTGCTTAATCATGGTTATTGCACAGTTCTCTCTAAATTCTGATTTAGTGTTTCCTCTCTTTCTGCAGTGAACTATTTTTTCCAAAAAATATCAACAATCTATCTACCCATACATTTATCAATAACATTATATAATTAGCTGAGCCTATTGCTTTATTTATTTCTCAGCTTTATTCATATGAGGCATTGTCAAACCTCTCAGTCTTGGAACTGACCAAGTCTACTTCACAGAGGATATTGAATTGTGGTTATTTTGTGCCTGATTAGCTGCAATTCCTTCAAGAAAGTTGTATAGTATTCTATTCCTTGAATGGAATTTTCTCCTTCCTAAATTTGGAAGACTTGTGAACATTTGGCCTATGAACTTCTGAGGAAGGAATCATTTGAACACAACTGATAATTTTATGTACTTTTAAGTTTTTCCTTTCAGAGCCAAAAAGTTGTCTCTCCTAGAGAAAAACAAAGGAGTGTCCCAAAGAGGAAGTTTCAAAACAAGGAGTAGATTTCTATGCCTTTATTTATAGACCACCTTCTTTATTTCAGTCTGTAGTAGGTCACAATAGCTGCTTCAACTAACCATGAGATGGAGGTATAATGGAATGCACTTGATCAAAGTATATCTAGAAGCAGGAATATTATTTTAGTCTCACTTTTTATTGCTACTCTGCCTCATTTTGAGTGCTTGGTTTGGCCAAATGTGTGGGATATACATACTTTTTTACCTGAAAAGCTGTGAAAACTGACAAGTAACATCAGAATCTTGTTTACTCTACTATGCTAGTTGGTATGCTCTATCATACTTGACTTCTGGAGAAAAGGGAATGAGGCCTCAGTGAGACTGGGCAACTTTATGATTTTAATAGTTTATGGAAAGGTAGCTCAGTAATACAGTCCTGAAGACAGCTGCATTAAGTATTGACTTCCAAAGAAAACCATGACCATCCTTCACATGATCTACCATTTTTCATGTCTGGGAGAACAGAGATGTTCAGCTTTTCTCAAAGACAAATCCCCTTGCAATTTATATATTTCTTTTTGCCATGGAACAATAGGTACTGCTGCTAGTGAAAGTTAAACAAAACACTGTTGCTGGTCTCCCAGGTTTGAAAAAATGGCTGTGGAAATATACTCACTAAGTGTCTTGTGTCTAGTACACATCATGAAGTGCTTGGAATACTTTTAAGAGTATCCTGGTTTAGGCCAAATTTTGAGAGGAAACTTCTGAATTGGTCTTTTCTAGAAAGTAAATTCAAGCAGCCCTTCTACCAATTGGTTTGGGAGGTAAACATCTTTTGAGAAAAGTGAAAAAAACTGGTTATTTAACAAGCAAAGTTAAAAACTCATCAAACTCACAGACATGGAAAAAATGAATAATATTAAACAATGAAACTTCTCACTGTTCTGAAGAGTTGGCAAATTCAGAGAGAGTCCTTTTCATGGGGTGTAGCTTGCTTGCTCAGTCTCTGTTCAGTCCCTCCCATTCTGGAAAATGCCATGTCCTGGGCCCAAGTGGGCCAGAGGTGTGAGCTCCCAGTGTTTTTCTGGGTTTTCAGTCCAGAGAAGGGTCAATCAGTTCCAAGAAAAAGAAAAGCCACTGTCAGGGGAACTTTTCTGCCCCAGCTAGCTAAAAAAAAAAACCTTACTAAAGCAAAGGAGAGCTCTGTCCCGCTGCCCATGCTGCAGACAACATGCACAGAGAGAAAAGGAATTCTGGGACACTGAAAGTGAAGTTTCTGCACACACAAACTGCACACCACTGCTAACCCCTTCCTTCACTCTTGGATCAGGTTTTAAAGGTGCAGGATTTATTTCTGGGCTACAAAGATGAATGGGGATACAATTCAACATCATAAAGTCACCCCAGGACAGAGAGAAAAAGCAGGAAATAAAGGATCTCCTATAGGAACAGTGATGACATGGTTTAAATCAGCCATTGAGGGACCAGTGCTCTTTCCCTTCATTTTCAGAACTGAAACTTGTTGCTCTGTTGGGAGTGGCGAGAAGAACGACACAGACTTTCTCCTGGAGTCAGAACTGGAGAAGTTTTTCTCCGGTTTATTACCTCAGGTCTTTTTTATAGACCGATACGTGAAAAGTACAGAAAAGAAAACTCTTATTGGTTAGTAAACTAACACATCACCATCATTGGTCAGTGGGGTACACCACCCCTAGACTTTGTCTTGCAAGAAAACAAGGAACAGAAAAAAACACCTGCTGTAGGAGATGCTTTCTGGGGTGGACGGTCAGAGACACCACAAAGACCTCTATAATCGAGTTAGCTGTTAGAAGGTTATTTCAGGGAGTGGGAGAGAGAGAGAGAGAGAGAGAGAGAGAGATAGAGAGAGAGAGATAGAGCCTGCTATGAGCCAGCAGATAGAGCTCAAAGTGGGCTCAGAGGGAACAATACAAAAGGGGGTAGAATATAGAATATGAATACATGAGCTCAAGACTTAAGAAAGAGAGTGACAGAAGTGAGAGAGCCGGGGAAAAGAACAGCAAGAGTGTAGAAAGAGTGAGGCAGGAGGGCTAAGAGAGCGTAGCAAGAGAGTAGTAAGAGAGCTAAGAGAGACCAAGAGGGCTAAGAGAGAGCTAAGAGAGAGAGTTCTCTTTTACAATTACTTATATAATCTATTCATTTGAATATTCTATTCTTTCACTAACCAATCTTTCTAAGTATACTAATACAGTAACATTTGTGTGTGACCTATAGAAATCGCTGCTATTGCATATTTTTAGTTATCTCAGGGTCCTTCAGACCTTTCCTTATAAAGCTGGGAAGAGGGGTCTCAGCTTAGTTTTATTGCAGGAAAGAATGTGTTCTGGCATACCAGCCCGGTTTCTTTGAATTATTCAAACCGTGATTTCATTTGTATTTCTTCCTTAGCCTTTCTGGCTAAAGAGTCATATTTATAATTTCTTTCTAATTCTACCTTCCCAACAACCTGCAAGGCTGTCCTCTATCTCTGAGGATTGTTTTAATTCCTCCTTATGATTCCCAGGCCACTTTCCCAGGCAAGACTGAGAAAGCTATGTGGCCTGCAATTTCCACAGGCACCGTGTTCCCTGCTTCACAGTTAGCATACATAGAAACCGGATGCAGCTTCTCCATTATTGTGTAGTGTTTTAATGTTTTGAGAATAAGGAGAAACTACAGTTAACCCCAGTCATGTTTCAGGAAAGGAAATTTTGCAAAAAAATTTTTGTCTGTATT